TAAAGCAGCTCAAGGAATAAGTGATTTGCAGTCAAACATTGAACAAATGTAGGGACAAATGCTTTTCCCAATAGCTGTTTGTCATAGGTGTCAAATCAAGAAAAGGTGGAGTTAAAAAATCCTTGTGTATAAAGATGACAAGGAACAGATCTTTACAAACTGTTATTTGGTATCAACTTAGAGGGGGAAAAATGAAGGATTATTTTCCAATATATGACAGCAAGGAGTTGGAGAGCTCAGAGTTTGGAACGAGATCATCTTGAAGGTTTCTTCCAATCCAAGTCATTCTATGATTCTATGAAAAGGTTAGAAAATAGTTCAAAAAATTAGTAGTTCATTTTTCCTATAAGATACAGATTTTCTGAGGGAATATATTGGATCTTCACATTTAATTTTGATCTTAGATATCTTTCTTTTGTTTAAAGACTAATGACCACAGAACTTAAAAGAAATTGGTGATTCTTTACAGGCAATAAACTGCAATGGTAAAGAATAAAAAGCTTGTATAGTCCATATCTATTGATGGTGCTTGATTTCTTGCCCCTGTTTTCATCCTGACATAGTAAAAGAATAAGAACAACATAATGAAAAGTCTGAAAGTGTTAATTCAGAAATTTCAAAGTATTTTTTGCCATTTTGGTTTGTACTAATACAAGCACATTTAAAGAATATTTACTTACCCAGAACTCTGCTAAACATTTCTTCATCAAGAACACCTAACTTGACCTAAATACACAGGATTTCTCAGAACTCATTTGAAAAATCAAGGTTTGTTCGCAATAACTCTTGTTGAACAAGAGAATTTAATTAGAAAAAAAACACACCTGCTTGATTTAAAATTTGTCAGTGACAGTGAATCCTCTGCATTTTATTGAGAATTGTTCTGAGAGTTAATTAAGCTCATTGTTAAAAATATGTTTGATTTTTAATTTGGCTACTGAATAACATTGAGTTGTTTTCAGTTCCTGCTTTTTTTCCTGTGAGAATGAACACTTCATCATCAAGATTCTGTTTTTTAGAGAGGTAGAACAAGTGAACTTCCACCAAAATTCTCTTTGGTCAGTGAAGCAATTTGGGATCACTGAATCTCTCACTCTCATCTTGAACAATTTCAGCATGTTTGTATTGCAAAGATGAACAACACCTGTAGAAGGCAACTGAGGCTTCTGAGTTGTATACAATCGACATTGCATACCAAATGGAGGGACTTTTAATGGGCTTCAAGAAGTGTGAAAAAACCCTGTATTTCTCTAATCAGGCAGGGGTACCAAAAAGTAGAGAAAAAAGCATTTCCACTTAATTTAGAGTTTGGAGAATTAGATGAATCAGTGATTTAACAAGATGTGAATGTGGAAAGTACTTGAGGTTCAGTGCACTTTCATTACCTACCTAAATCTGAAAGGTTTTAACTGTTTTTGCAAATACAGGTTTTAACTAAAGTAGGATATTAACAGCAGTATCAGAAGTGTCAAATCCCTGCACGTAAACCATGGTAAAATTAATGTCCTAGCAAGAAGAGTCCAAGAAATTAAAACACTCTTCCCATACTCTCATGACCCTTAAAATGTCATCTCAAAAGAAGTCATTCCTGTGCCAAGAAATAAGTTCACTATCCCTCCATTCAGCAGAAGATGGAACTAGAACAACTGAGTACGAATGCAATAAAGCATCTTGTGTATGTTGTTAACATAGACTCTGATGTGCAATGAAGAATTCTGTGTTGCATGCTTCAGTGGTTGTGAGATATTACTCCTTGGAGGAAAGGTCATGATTCAAACACTTTTCAGCTCTTTGTAATGTAACTCGTGGTTCTGCATTTCTCTAAGAATACACAAATGATGTCCTATACTTAGTACCAAAATCCTCTCTGTTGGCTTGTATACTGTGCCTTATGAGCAGAATAAGCATCACATTAAAATAAAGGCAAAGTCTGGGTTACCATTAAAGCACATCCTCCTCTTTCACACTGAGCAAACACAGCAGTAGTGTCCACACTCTCTTTTCCCTGTGTTGGTTTGGATTTTGAGTGGGTTTTTTGAGCTTAGTATCAGTGATGCTTTTAAAGAAATAAATATTGCTTAAACCTAAATGTTATTGTAAGATGCAAGAATGTTACTAATGTTGATGACTGAAGGTATCAACCTGATCTTCCTGTAAACAGAAAGGGTTTCAGCATAAATATTGTAAAAGCTAAAACTAAGATCCTGTAAGCATCATAAAAGGTAGAAGAGAAAGATAAACAAATTTTTACTGAGACTTATAAGCAGAGGAATGAGACACTAGTGATAGGAATTCTTTTTGCAAATACACTCAGGCAGGTGCAATCCCAATGGCTTTATCAAATCACAACAGGCCCTGTCTAATCATTCAGACTTTGTGACAGAAAAGGAAATCAGGGATTCCAAATTCCCTCTGGTACCTGAAAGATATCAATTTTTAATAAGGATGTGAATAATTTATTATCTTTCCCATAAAAAAATTATTTTGAATAATTTGTTAATCCTAGTGATAGTATGACAAAATATCTAGGGAAGATACTATATATAAATTTTGACTTTTCCTCAGCTTCTGTCTTATACTTCAGACTAATTCTTCATTGACTAAAAGAAAACAGTCAATGAAAACATTTTGCAAAGGAGTTCTACAAAAACTCAATATATGAAGAAAAAACCATTTATGCCTAAAGAGTGTTTGATAATTACACTGTAGAATTAAACTTCAAGGTTGAAAGATCAGTTTCAATAGTGCCTTCTAGCAGTTATACTTTAAAATATAATCTGTGTCCCAGACAGTTACTTAATAAGATTAGTTTAAATTGTCTTTCTCTCCTGGAAAGTATATAGTAATTAAAACAAAACAAACCAAGAAAGATATTTAAGTTCAAGCCAAATAGCTTTTCTTCTCCTCAGACCATCTTGTGAAAAACATCAGATCTTGTCACAATCTTTTGTCCCTAAATGTTCTGACACAAAAGTTCAGTTTCATTCCTACACATAGCTCTCCTCCTCATCTAAAGATGCTAATGCAATATTTTCAAGAACTGTAGAGCTGTTTTCAGCCTCTTCTTTAGGAAAAAAAATAATCTATATAATTGTTCCAAGTTTCCATACATTCTTTCTATTAATACCAATGCCAGTAGGATAGAGTATTTTGCTTCTCTCTTTTTAAGTCTTGTGTCCTCTTTCAGCAAATTTAGACATACCTCTGCAACATACCTTCAATGCTTTGAGGAACACATCTGGATAGACAAGGAAAGTCAGCTTAGAAACACAAATGAAGAAAAGCCCAAGCAGAATCAACAATTTCAGTTCTCAGCTGGCAAATGAGTAGCTAGTTTAGGGAAGAATGCAAACAGTCTGCAGTGTATATTTGGGGTGCAGCATGGATGTGGAAAGGTCTTGCACAGATGAATTAATGTGAGACAGACTCATGTGATTATTCCAGGAACAGAGAAGGACAGGGAAAATAAATATAAACCAGACATCTAGGAAATCAAGCTTCTTTAGCTTTGGCTGCTCCAGAAACAATTGTCTGATACTGATGGCAATTTCCCCACTGTGCATGTGCAGCTGGAAACAAAAGATTAGTGCAGATAATTTTTTATAGCCAATTTAGAGCTAGACATAGATTTACTGGGTAATTTACAGGATGAAACAAATCTGTCTCCAGAGTTTTCAGTAGGTTTATTACCTAAACAGGTGAAGGCTAGAAGAAAGAACAAGGAAGAGAGGAAGAATTAAGTAGCTGTGCCTTATTCAAGGACACATTCTGGCTCCATCTTGTCCAGCCACAGCTGTTATCAAATTGATTAGCAGCAATATGCTTATTCCAAGTGAGAATTAATCATCTTTTAATTTTCTAGATCTATTGAAATTGAATAAGATCATTTCTTATCAAGTTCTAAAACACAGCAGATATTTTAAAATAGAGAAACAGGCTAAGATAATGTAAAATAGCAGCCTCCTGAGGCTGATTTGCATAGTTTAAATTGTCTGAAGTACTATACTGTGGTTGTTCAGTAACAAATCATGAGATTCCAATGAAACCTACTGCAAGGCCTAGCTAAAATCTGTGGGGCAATTATAGCTTGAAAATCTGTTTTCCATGATAAATCCACATAGAAAGTCCTATGTGGATCTGCATGAGACTATGCAAAGGATGAGTTTCTGATGTCTTCCCTTCTCTTATTTGCATCTTGAATATAATTCTTCCTTCTCTCTTCTTTTGCAGCATCAGGAGAGTTACTCCTTCAGAGGAGTTTTACATGATGCACCTCTGATGATCATTTATTTAAGTAAAACAAACAAACTTCATTCATATGTTCTTGTTTCCACAAGGAGCCAACCTATAAATGATGAGTGGCATTCATCGAACACCAAATTTTATACACACTCTTGATTTCCGCGACCACAGAATATTAAAAAATCAATCATAGAATCCAAATATCCTCAGTCAGATGAGACCCACAAGGATCATTTGGGTCCAACTCCTGGCCCTGCACAGGATCATCCCAAGAATCACCCACGTGCCTGAGAGGGTTGTACAGATGCTTCATGAAGTCTTGGTGCTGTGACAACTTCCCTGGGGAGCTGTTCCAGTGTGTGGATGAGGAACCTTTTCCTTATATCCAACCTAAACCTGCCCTGACAACTTCAAACCATTCCCTTGAGTCCTGTCACTGTTTGCCAGAGAGAAGAGGTCAGTGCTGCCTCTCTGCCTCCCTTCACGAGGAAGTTGCAGTCTGCTGTGACATCTCTGCTCAGTCTCCTCCAGGCTGAACAACCCAAGTGACTTCAGCCACTCATATGGTTTCCCTCTAGACCCTTTGCCATCTCTGTTCCCTCCTATGGATGCTCGTACAGCTTTATATCTTTCTTATATTATGGTGCTCAAAAACTGCACACAGGACTGGAGATGAGGTCACACCAGTGCAGAGCTGACTGGGACAATCACCTCCCACAACTGGCTTCACTCAAAGAAGAGCTCAAGAAGTTACATACCTTGTGGTTGTTTAATCACAAGACGAAAAGCAGATTCCTTACTGGTAGACTTTAACAGGACAGATGCACTGAGATGACAACTGGGCAGCTCCTGATCTAAAAAAAAAAATAAACATTAAAAATAAAATTGATTGAACAATTCCTCTAATCAAACAGCTTCATTATCAGAGGTTTTAAAAAGTACATTATTGAATGGGAGCACATGGCCCTATTTTTTCCCTTTGATTAAAGATTCTCCCAGTGATGAAGAAAAGTATACACATATTATGGAACTTGTCTTAAATAGAATTACAATAAAATAACACACCATCAAGAAAGCCTGAAGTTTAAAATGTTTCCAGTTAACTAACATCTAGAGATTACAAAATAAACTGGTTTCAAAATTAAAAAATCAAATAGCCACAAAAGCCCATGGTGACATGAAATATGTGACAGAAAACTTGAGAGAAAGGGGTTCAGGACAAGCAGCACTGAAACAGTTGCAGGCAGGATTTGCTTTCTTGATGGCAAGTCACTGCATCACCTAACAGATCACTTCAAAAAGACAGAGGATTTAGATACTATTTTGATTCTTTCACTGATTAGTGTCAATATTGTGTGTAGATGAAAAATGAGATAGGAAAAACTGATTTGAAGTCCAATATTATAAACAGGTTTTGGAGCTGTTCAGACAGCCAAAGATGTGTTGCTTAAATAATTGACACTTGCAGGAAATGCCTTGCAGGAAATATATCTAGTTAACTCCAAGAATCTGAGCTCAACAGATAGACTACATCTGTAAAATATGTCATATTAAAGTGTGGTGGCACTGAATGATGAACTGCCCACAGGAAGATGTGATAGACAGGACTGCATCAAAGAGCCAGGGGAAACTGTCATTTGGGGTCATGGAACAAAGCTAAAATAGCTTGAAAAAAACCAGAACAGTGATCAAAGATGTTCAGGAAGGCAAATAAAAGCTCTCTTGGCACTATCAAACTTCTTGCTTCTTGTGAGGAGAGAAACAGCCTCAAAATTATTTCACCTCAGGTTTTGGAAACAGCTTAGAGGTTTTAAATAAAATTTGCAAACTATGAGGAAACACTAAAAGATTGCAGGCCCTTTCCAAATATTAACAGATGGGTGTATAAGAAAAGCCTACACACCCATTTTAACATATCAATAAAGCAACTTATATCATCATCTTTCTTGACCTTTGACTACAGTAACCAAAATAAGGCAATACTGAAACCTTTCTTACAATGCTAATTATTCTGAAGGTATTCTTTTCAACATTTTTTTCCAGGATGATAAAGAGCTGAATACTCTAAGTTTCCCTTACTAGAAGAGTTTTCCAAAGTTCAAAATATCTGTTGTTTTAGTTCTTTTTCTTATATCCATCTCCACATTCAGCTAAAAAGCAATTTCCACAGAACTAGCTAACTAATCTCTAGAAATCTCTTTTTTCTCTGCTACAGTGCAGTCCACAGCCAACAACCAGTGCACGTGTTGCTGAGGCTGTATGACTGAAGAGCTCTACCGTGTTCCATTGTTAAAGGTTTGAGTTCTTTTCTAGCTCCCACAGTACAGTCTACAGAGCTTTTCAGGGTGGACATGAATGACACACAATATCTAGGACAGAAAATGGAACAAGCCAGGTATAATCACATCCCAGTCACACTTTTAATGCAACCCAAGGATCTTAAGTGCATTACTCCACCCCCAAAAAACCCAAACCCTCGTACCTGTCAGCACAACATCTGCCACCACGTTTTCAGAGGTTGGATTTTTGAAGGAGATGATGGCAGAAGAAGATTGGCCAATGCAGGCACTTATGCTCGTTGGTTCCATCAGCTGAGGAGGAACACCAGTCCCCGAAAGGTAAAATATCCATTCCTGAATCTGTAGATGAAACATGCCATTATTTATCAGTTGACAAATCAGATTTGTACATTTTAAGGCATTTCGCCTACTTCTTTCTTGCAGTGTTCTATGTCTGTGTTATAAGTGAAATGCTGTTTATTGCTTTCTTCCTCTCTTCTTCCTTCCAGCTGGTATATTACTCTAAGTATTGCTAGCTGGAAATCAATAGTTCCAGGCTGGAAGATGTTCACATCTCCTTTTTTGCATTTAACTTCTGTCCTACTTTGCACACATAGTATTTAACTTCCATCCAGCTACTCAGAGCTCCCAGTGCAGTGAATGGAAAGATGTATGTGGTTGCAAGAGAGCAATTCAAAGCACATATATTAGCACCTGACAGCAGGTGAAGTAAGCAGAGAAACTCTCTCCAGAAGACAAAGAAAGAAAGAAAATAATTCCTTCATGGAACAGCAGTAGAATCACACAAAAAGCTAAAAGTGTTACTCCAAAGATACCAAAGAACATTAGCCTCTATACACAGAAAAAATCTAGAATATTGGAAAGAAATAGTAGACACAGAGAATCACCAGGGAGCAGAAAAAAAAGGGAAAATAAACATAATTTGTATTAAATTTAGTCCTTTTTGTTCAGCATGACACTAAAGAGTTCCCTCTCCCACATTTACTCTTTTAGGATATAAAGTGTGATTTTAATAGTGTCACTCATTATGGAAACTTTAAAAGAGAATAAGCAGCAAAGGTGAATTGTAAACATAAAGTTCCTATCATTAATTTAAGGAAAAGTTTGATTTGAACATTTGTGTTGCTGCCTTTAAATAATAACAATACAGACTAGAATCTGAGGCTTATCATGAACTGCTCAAAGTGACCCTTTGAGCTGTTTTGTTCCTTAAGGTTTGCAACATAAAGAGAATAGAAAATAATACATAAAATAAAACCACTCTTCTCATTATCTGAAATCCTGCATTTATTGTTGTATAACCTGTCAGAAAACATTAAGGGAAGTCTGTAAAAGACAGCATTGAAAACATCTAACAACAAACCTGGAAATATTTACAGCAAGAAGTGACTAATATATTGAGAATTCTCAGCATAAACAGGGATAAATAAAATGGCACATCATATTCCTTCAGAAAATAGCTTTGGACAGCAAAATTGTATGCCTTTATTATCTTTTTATAGAGAAGTCACTCCAAGAAGAAAAAAAAAAAGATATTTCAGTCTTACTGAAGGAAATTTATATATATATTTTTAAAACTCATCCAAGGCTACAGGAATTTAATTTATTTAAAAAAAAGTGGGGGGAAGAACAAAACAAGGAAGAATAAAACAAGGCAGCCAAAACATTCTAGAGATCATAGGACAGAGCAGCCTTGCCTGACCTGCAGGTATTCACTTTGTGAGGGAGCTCAGGATCAGGTATGACAGTGCAAGAAATCAAGAGGGGAAAAAATAGGTAAAAAATTAGAATCCTAAGGCAAATAATATGAGGTAGGATCTAATATTGGGCTGAGTTTCTTGCTCTTGTTAAACACTCTCCATTACACACCTGGATGTTAGCAATGTGATCAAACAATTGGCAAATGCCAATGTGCTAGAATTCTGCGTGTGGGTTACGTTCAAGCTGTTCTTTCAGTTGTGCTGTTCCAACAAATTTAATTTCAGATTTTTGCAATGATTAGAGCTAAACTCAGATTCATTTTGTGGAGAGCTCTTCGTCCAGCCTCAAAGCAGAAACAAATGAAGCAGGTAATAGCACAGAGCAGTTTCTCTGACTTCAGCAAAGAGGCACAATCAGAAATAGTTAAGGCTTCTCCTCTAAGTGCTGTTATTTACTGCTCTGGGATTAGTCAGCTATTCAGCTATCAGATGGTGTAAGTGCCCATTCAGATATATTTAATCAGAGAAATCAAGGAAGGGAAATCAATGTTGGAGTGGTAGGGGTTACATTAAAAACCATTTGAGGCATCCACCACTGATGAGAAACATTTGTCAAGTCTCCATGGAAAAGGGCAGTTATACATGTGCAAATATTCACTGCCAGCTGTCAGTATCAAAATTAACAAACTAAAATAGTTTGGGATTAATTTAGCAAGGACTGAGCAGTGAAAATGAAGTAAAATTCATAAAAGTCAAAGGATTCAGGCATTAGAAGAGCCCTACTGGTTATCCCAATATATTGAAATGGCTAGAGGGGTCTGGACTAAGCAGCTGGAAGGACAGGATACAGCCCTAAGTTCACTGCAGATAAAAACCTGGGGATTTGTCATTCCTTGAAAGGAGATGTACTGGATGACAAAATTCTGGTGGTAGAGCTCAATCTGTTTCTGAAAGGTTTAAATGAAATGTTGTATTGGTTTATTGCTTTTCCATTTGGTGAAGAATTTATTTTTTCTTTTAAAAAACACAGATAACATTCCCATCAAGTTTCAGAGACGATAAGGACATTCTGTCCTCTTGAAGTGACCTTGGATATATACTATTCATATGAGAATTGCTGTCTCTTTGTTTTTATCCTTAATAAATATTTAAGAGAGATTCTGAAAACAAATGCTGTGCTAACACCACCTGCAAACAACCTGTCTGTTCAACATACTCTATCAGGAAAAAAAATTGCCACATCACTTCCTTCAGTGTTTGTTTTCTTCATATGAAAGAATATTTGCTTTTGCAGTATTACTTAAAACACTACTGAAAACTCCTGGTAGGCCTCAAATGGGATAACTCACAGGTCAGCAGTCTATTAGGACAACTCAAAGTCCAAAAAGAATACAAAAAGGAAATTGCACAGCAAGCAAATGCTTCATTTAACCAGGGCTCACATGAGGATATATTATCCTTTACATCATATTGTCAGGGTTTTTATGTGCCAGCTTTAATTCAAAATCAGCTAGTAATCCATGTTGATGACCCACATTTCTTTATTTACATTTTTTTCTCATTTAAAATTAGGAAAATTCACAGAGGAAAAAAAAATCAGCAATTCTAAGGTGTTCAAAGTAAAAACTATTTTCATACAAAATTAAAGGAAGAATTCACTTTTTAAAGTGCATGACCTTCCAAAATTCAGATCAGATAGAAAGTGGAACAATGTAACTTTGTTTGGGGTTGGGAAAAAAACCAACAAGAAGTTTGATTTCAGAGGTGACAATGATAAAAAGTGCCAATCTTCTAGTGTTAAAATCAGAACTAATTACCAGGAAAGCTAAAAATAACTCATTGCCTAGTCTAGCTCCTAGGCCATTATGCCACATTTTAATACTGTAAACAGAATAATTTCTTTGTAAAACTAAGGTTCAAACAAATGCTAAGTTTTGAACATCTTTGCATTTGCTCTTTCATTAGACATCCAGCCATTAAACTTCAGCTTGCCCTGCAGGCTGAAACCCTTACCTGCCTATTAAAAATATTCTCTAATCTGAATCCCAGGTGTTGTGGGCAGCAAACACATCATCCTACCTGTGAGCATCTGAAGGTTATTGTCGCCCTGTGATTGCCTCTTCCAAGGGCAGATGGACAGAACTGCACAGGCACTTCCATGGTGGAACGAGGAGCAACAGTCAGCTGTACAACCACGAGAAAGAAGAAAAGGAAAGGGGGGCTAAGGGAGTGGAAATCAATTTTTTGGACTCTGTTTGTGCTTTGTATCTACAGTGTTGATGTTTATGTGATTAATGTGTTCCACCAGATGCATTCTCCCTCTCAGCAAGCACAGGCTGCTAAGGCAGTGAGTGCATTGCAGCGAACAATGCGAGTGGCAGTCGGTGCACGTTCACATCTCAGAAACTCCAGAGCTGGAGTTACAGATCGCTCCAAGGACATGGATAATGGCTCACAAATCCCATTCCAACAGGACTGTGGTGTCTGATCGTACTGATGACACTCAAAGGTTATCACATTGACCTCCACAGACATGAACTGGCTTTTAAAGGAAATACATGGCAGGTTTTAATAAACAAGTGCTTTGTCTCTCTTCTGCTTCCCTTTATCTAAACTAGCATTGTAAATAATGTCACTAGTTTTCTCTTTGCCTGAAGTATACTACTTGAGACTCAATTGCACAGGGAAAAGCAAAGCAGCTGACTACAACAGGGCCATAAATGTTTTTAAGAACCAGATAAGCAGTGAAATAATAGGATTATGAATAATAAAAATGCCAATGCATTGAGAATGATCGGCTAGAATCACTGAATACATAACTACCGTGTCTATTTTTTTAATTAAAAAAAAAAAGTACTAGGCTTTGAATATCATATGTGCTTAAACAAGATTTGCATGCGAGAAGAGATAAAAAGGTAATTGATTGACATTATGAACACTTAAGGTGTATTTTATAAAATTAATATAATTTACAACTAATAAAGCTCCAAACAACACTCTACAGCAGCTGGCACTGACAAGCCCTTCTCTAAAGGAAATGTCAGCCTGGAAGAACAGGCTGCTAACAGGCAGCAAACACGAGTTATTAAAAAAGTCATTACCACATGTAATGGTTGCAAGATGTCTGATTGCAGCAACAAGCCCTGCAACCTCTTCCCATCACAGGAATTGGACTGCCTGTGCCCTCATCTGGTGCCTGAGCTCATGGCACAGCAAAGCAGAGACCTCCAGGAGTCCCATCACACCCAGAGACACAAAACAGCTCCTGGGCATGCTCAGTATCCACAGCAATTTTCTGAGATTTTTTTTTTTACTTTCATTTGCAGTTCAGTTCCTACCTACCAGACAGACCCATTTATCAAATGAAGACAGATGGAGAAAGAACCTTAGCAGAAAGAACCCCCTCCCAAATACTTTCGAGCAAAATGGAAAAGCAGGTAAAGACGGGTTGTCACAGAATAAGAATACATAATTCAATTGAAACTAAGATTTTTAAATTTCAAGTAATTGCACTAAGAGATCTACATTATTTGGAACAACTCTTCCATAAAGCTGAAAACAGACAGGAGTTGATTTTCAATAAGCATTACTTGACATATTATCATTACACAGAAAATGCACTGCCACAATGAATCTAAATAATCAACATGGAGTTATGATAATCGAGCACACTGCCCTCTCTGAAAGCTGAAAGGATTTTTTACACTACAGATCTCAAATTTGTATTACGTTATGATGTTCTCTGAATCCGAAAAGAAATTTGTTTTGAAATAGGCTGGGGGGAAAAATCCCCATTCTACTAAAACCACAAAGGAATAAATTGCTTTTAAAACTAAGGTTGAGAAATAATGCTAAACTAAATATTTTCAGAAGTTCATACTTTGACACAATCTTTGAATAAAATATGCTGAAGTTAACACATCCACAATCTTGGGTAACTGTGAGTTTGGAGAATAAAATGATTCTAGGTATTTGCTTGAAGCTTCTTTGTGGCTACATTGATCAAATTATTATTCATAGACCCTGCAAGTTGCTTACAACTGCCATGACTATGAGATATTCTTATATTGCTCCATCAACATTTTCTCTACTCACCTAAATATTTACCTAGTTATCCTGTTGATTCTTAGATACTTGTGAAACTTCTAATCAGCTCATTTGTTTACAATGTCTCCTAACATCTCCTGAATTATTTGCAACCTACACTGCAGTCCTGCTCAAAACCATTCCACAAAGCTTTCCAGGGAGAACAATATCTATACTTCATCTTGAGTTGCTTTTCAAGTTTAATTTTTTTCACCCTTCAGCTATAAAATCTCTAGAATACATACTTGTAATGTCTAAAGGGTTGTGTATCTTGAATTCATGGTACAATACACAATTCAATTTGTTTTGAAAAGCATGCTCTCTTCTATCACTTCTGTGAAAGCACAGAAATCTTACTTACAAGGTGTTCTGGGCCAGTCTCAGTGGAAAAATTATTAGGATTGCTGTTAGAAATTTCTATCTCCAGAGTTTCGTGTGTAGGATTAGAAAGAGGTATGTATAGAGAAGCACATCTGGGAAAAAAAATATATAAAATGATGATTAATTACAAAGCTTCTTCCATTGCATTTCATTATTTTTTCCTATTATTTCTCAAAAAATCAGTAATTGTAAAAATAAGAATTATTGCATTAGCATTTTCCTACTAATATGGACACATTTAATAACAATAATGAATATTATTAATAATTAATAATAGCAAATGCTGGTAGCAATAAACATTCCCAATATTAGGTTCATTTTTAAGGGCAGAATTTGTCTTGCTGTGCTTCAGTTGCCAGGAAGTTAGTTTGAGTTAGGTAAAAGGCTGAAAGGACTGTTTAGGCCCCTCAGTACTCAACAAGGAGTCCAAGATTTTCAGGGAGAGTTCTGCCAGTATATTCCTGTTTCAGAAAGAGGAAAAGAAAGGAAATAAAGCAAACCTACAGAACTGGATAACAGATCTTGATAATTACATTCTGCAGTATTTTCAGAGTGATTTCTAAATAAAGACTTCAGAGGATGCTTAAATATATAGGCTACAATTCCATTTCAACTGCTTTTCTGCCAGGAAAATCTCACCTACCTACACATACATCTATGGAAATTTTCTGCAAACTACTACAGTACATATAGAGCACTATCCTGACTTCCTGATGTAAACTCCTCAGATAATTTCCATGATACCTTAAAAAAGTGACCCAACCCGACATTATGAACTCCATACTTACTTTCCAAGCTCACATTCTATTTCAGGCAGATTGGTTGGCAGTGGTTCCTCTACAATCAATTTCAGGGCATACCAAAACTCTGCAACCACATCTGACAGGAATATGACACTGAAAACAGAGACGTAAGCTGAATATGACACAGCTTTTGTTCAGACAACAAAAAAATACAGATTAAAATTCTGGAAATACCTAATGAGCTCAACACAGTGAGTTCTGTAATTAGCTTGCAATTTCCCCCAAACACTTCTTGCTAGTATCTGAATTCAGGTACCAAAACTAATAGTAACTAGAATTACTGATGCAGCAAAATCTCTTTATCATTCTTACATTTTAGCATTAAAAGTTGTTTGTTACTTGGGGTTGTTTTTTTGTTTGCTTGCTTTTTCAAGAACACAACTCAAACACATTTCAACTGACAAGAGAAAGCTTTCATTTCATTTCAATGTCACAGTATTTTCTTTCTAGCCATTTTGAACTTAAGGACAAAGTAATAGAAATACTATCTGCTAATTTTAAAAAGGAAAATTGTTTCAAATCTAGTGATGAAAACTGAGGAATAGATATAGACACATTTCTATGAGCATGACAAAGAGATATGCTTCAAAGGAATATTCAATATATTGTTTTGATATACAAGCAAACATTGTCATGACTGAAAACTGCTTGCTACTAGGTGAGATAAGTATGACAGTATATTTCTGTGACAGACATTCTAACACAGTCCTTTCCTTCTGCAGAATTCTTTTTCTGTATCTTGTGGATTTTTTTGAATGGCATAGTCAAAATAACATTAAACCAAAGCACTGGAAGTGTATAAAAACAGAGAAGAAATGCACTGTGCAAGCCCATGGCCCAGTAAGGAAGAATTCTTTTTGTAAGTGATAGATAACTATGTCTATTCTGTGACCTTATGGTTCCAGACTATCCTCTGTGCCAACAGAGCTTTTAAATTAAGCATAAAACAGCTTAGGAAAGAATTAACCATTTGGAAAGGTACAATCACTTTTCCAGCAGTTCTTCCCAGCTGCTACCATAGCAATGGAAACAGAGCATGGCTTCAGAAAAAAAGGGAATAGTGTGGATGGAACATGGAAGTACCTCTGTCCAGCTGTAACTGTAGTCCTTGAGAGCTATTGCAATTTAAAGGAGCTATTAGACACTTTTCTAGACCCATACTACATAATCATACCGAATACATCCAGATGTGCTTTATGGCATCTCTGCAAGTATCTCCCCGAATCCCAGCCTACCAGTCAGCTGAGCCCAAAGCTTTGCCACTTAAAGTCAACATTTCTTTTATTATCTGGAAATTCTGCACTTGAAAAATACCAGAAATACTCTCTGGAATGGGAAGAGAAATGAGGTCGAGTCTCATCTGCAGCTTCAGAATGCATAATTTCTACAAATTCCCACAGAAAAAACATTTTTACTGGAGTGATAAGAGCACTCATTTTTATAAAACAGTACTGCTTGAAAGCTCTATCACACAATGATACCTGTCATTGCTCTGGTCTTTGGCAAAACCAAAACAGACAAATTGAGTAACACTCTGAGTGGATTTTGACTTTGTAAATATTGGGTCTTTCAACACTGGTCATGTGTCTCTGCCCTCCTCTTGAATCACCACCTCACCCTCCTCCCCATCCCCATAGTTTTGCCAGTCAATTAAGATAATTGAAAAACTAGAAATTGTTTTCCAATCACCCCTTTGTCTAATTAATGCTTTGGTAACCAAATTCCAGGAACATATGCTTTGCAATTCTGTACTCTTCAATCACTTGCTGAACTGGTTTAGCTGAAACTAAGACCAAGAGGTCATCTGTCTTTATATTGTTAATTATCATACCTGCATGGTTTCATTGGGATTTCCAAATTAATGAAAAATTTGTCATTTAAGACCTCTCTATAATCATTTAGGAGATCATTGTTAATTAATGGGGGATTATGAAGCTAAATGGATTTAAGTGAAGAAATTTAAAGGGCTCTTCACTTGGTTTTAGTTATGTTGTTACAATTTTGTTCCTTCTCAGAATAAAAATGAAATAGTGTTATTTCCTTTACAGAACTTCCAAACTGACAAAACTAACAACTCATCTGAAGTTTTCAGAGGAACCTTCTAATAAGAAATAAATTTCTAAAATTTTGTTTATTAAGTTCCAGTGAACTAAAATAAAAAGTGGTTATTCTACTGCCTGTCAGTCACATTTTTCCCTTTGGAGGAAAACTGCTGTTTGGGATTAAATAACTTTAAAGTTGGAAATGTTCTTAATTCCATGTATTACGTTTTGTGGGGGTTTTTTTTAGGTCAATATCTACATCCAGTGAGTGAGGTTTCAATTAAAGTAGCTCATGTATTAGTAAAACAACCACAACAAGCATTAGAACTCTACAACTTACCTGCCTTCAAACGTGCCAACAGCTGCTGGGGAAAACTTGAATTGATACAAAAATGTTTGTTTGGGACTAAGAGTGAAAGCCTTTTGTCCACAAAGGGATGGATTGTCCAGCACCACATTCATCTGGAGAATATTATCTGCAGGATTAGTGATGGGAATATGGATTTCAACAGTATCCTAGAATGGAAAAAAAAAAAAACACAACAAAAAAAACCTCAAAATGAATTACGATCCATTACATGTAAAAGACATTTCTCAGCTATGATGCTTACTCAGAGTTTACACTTATGCCAAGCCAGGCTGCACATTTGTTTGATGTGTGAACTATTCCAAAGAAAGAGAAGCTGCAGCAAGAAACATTTCAGACAACCTTCAAATTGTAAATATTTGTAACATACAATGATTTGTTCCTCACAGAAAATTTTTTTCCATGTACTTCTTTTGAAAAAGGTAAATTATTCAAATTGTTATAAGGGGGGTGAAAAAGAGAAAGCATCTATTAAAATTAATATTACACTAAAAATGAATATGAAATACTTTTATGACCCCACACAGAGTGGCCTCACACTGCTTTGAGCCTGCCTATGATTCAGTAAATTTCTATATATTTACATTTATAGAAAACTACTACTGGAACACACATAAAACATACTTAATGTTCTGCAGATGGCAAGATTACACCAACAATTTCAATCATTCAAGTGCCTTGCATCAGTAAAATGGGATTTAAATTTGCCATAAAATATTTTAAAGCTCAGATTAATAGTTTTTACTGGTGTAAACAAGTTTCTAAATCTATCTACCATTTTATTGCTAAAGGCTTCGTAACAATTTCAGAGTAAAATACCTACATGCTATGTTGAAGAAATACTTTTACAGTAAAAAGGAAATATTGGACAGCTGATTTAGGATAGAAAGCAGCAACTATCAAAGAAATCTTTGTAATCTTGTACACAAAAGAGATTTTATATTGCCAACGTTAGGTTAATGCAAAACAGTTTGCTCTTGTCAGTATAAAATGAGTGCATAAGATTAGTGATTTCCCTGGAATTTCCCAGGAAATTTCCCTGGAATTGCCATACACATTTCAAAGATCTGCGGCTTCATTGATGGTAATAAGAGCAGATGTATATTTATCAGCAGAATGTGTATATATTGGTACATTTCTAGGCCTTAATGGATTTTTATGAAGGCACAGTACTAGGATAAACAACAAAATGCCCATGCAATTGCTAAGAATATTATTTTTCTTGAAAGTACCATTTTATCAGAAAGAATGCCAATAGAAGAACATCACAGATGAGTTCCAAACACATGTATAGTCACTAATTTAGTTTCACATTTCAATGTTGTGTTTTTTATAAACATTTCAGCACAGGGAAAATGTAAAAGTTGAAAAAAGAAGGTAATTAATCTCTTTCCTCAAACTATTTCTTGTATCAAGACTAACACTGCCATGGATAGAGCCATTTTTGTGCAATATGTCATGGTATTATTCCTGTAGAACTTTTAGTGACTCACTTCTTGTCCAGTGCAAGTCTTATAAAATAATCTTGTATGCAGTAAAATAAAATAAAATAAAATGCAAATATGAGATAACATTTATTCTTTCTGGAACTTGAAAAAATAATTGACTAGTTACACTTTCTCCTACACTAATAGCTTACATCAATGCATAGGTGTAATGCTCTGTAGACCAGACTTTGTTTCAAAAGATCCTCACCATTATCAGCTGAGAATTTATGATATTATACCTGACATATTTTCCTGATGTATTTTATACCAAAGGTTATATCATCATCCCTTTCTCTATATCCTTCCTTTAGTAACTGGACCTAAATGATTTAAGTTTATAAGACGCAACTTTATGTCTTATTAGTGTATCAACTATCAAATAATCCTCCTCTAAGTTCAACAATGTAAATTACAGGAAGATGGACACATTCTGCAATTACTGTGCATAACAATTTTCTGTGTTCAAACTTCAGTGATAATCCTATTCTAACTATCAATGGTGTCAATAAAAGCACTGTCTGCCCCAAGTGTCTAAGAGACTAACCCCAGTTCTTATACTTTAGAAGAATTGTTTGCAATTAAACCCCAGTTTCATTAAGGAGATGACATTCCTTTGCAGATTTTTCCATCCATAGACCTTGAGGTGAAAGCATTTGTGTTTGCTCCTGAGTTTGCCAGGTTATTGCTATAGAAGCAAATTTTCAAGTCAGGTAAGCAGCAAATTATATATTTGTAAAATTATAATTTGTGATATTATATAAATTATATATATGTAAAACCTGCTTAGCGAGGAATCCATTGTTATTGCTATTGTGGTACAGGAAACTAACTATAAGGAAAAAATATGCACAGGACATTTAATTTCAGAGGCTAATAGGGCAATGAGTTTCAGGTTTAAATTTACATATAAATTTACGTAGAAAAATCTCAGAGAATTGAATATCTTTTAGCTGAAATGTGCATTAGTGCCTAAGTAATAATGCCCTAAAACAGAATACAGAGTTATTACAATAATTGTAAGCTCGCTGACTGAAAATGACCTACACTGTTAACTTCTTAACAGGGACATTGCACCAAACAAACAAACTGGGAAAACAATATTTTGCAAAAAACATTTTTCTGAAATGGAAGGAATGGAGGGGACTGAAAAAGCATTATATGCTGCCAGTGAAGCTATCCATGCTGTCCTCAGCTCCACCAAATGAAACCAGGCACAGTGAGAAACACACCAAAGTGATACTACAAGAACTTCTAACATATAGAGGAAGAGCTAATGAACCAAATAATATGCACATATTTGGACTTCCATGCAAAGATAAATAGAAATTGTATCAAAGATGAGTTGAATTCTAATAGAAACACTATATTAAGATACTTATAAAAAAGTACCTGACAAGGGGATACACACTGACTCAAAGTAAAATTAATATCCCAAATTCCCATACTGAGAAAGTTATAACTATGCTCACATCTTAATGAATATTCCCTTGAATTTGAAATCAAGGACACCTCTGGGCCCATGGAGACTGAAGCTCAGTAACTCTTCATCCTCCTGAGACCACAGGTAGATTTCCTTTTCAGATCCAGCAGTGTGAGAAGAAATAATCAATTACAGCTATGTTTTGCCAACCGCTATACTGAAAGTTGACGCTTTGAGTGATCAGCTCAGTTGCCTAAGGCAGCACACTCAGTAGCCTGGCTTATCAAAGCTGAATCCAGTTGAGAGACCTACTGAAAAAATGGAAGAGTAAGTCAATGTTTTCCATTACCAGAATCACCAGGGAAGGTGACCATAGAATCATAGAATGGTTTGGGCTGGAAGATCACCTAGTCCCAGCCCCTCTGCCATGGGCACGGACACCTTACACCAGACCAGGTTGCTCAGAGCTCTATCCAATTTTCACTTCTCTATGTGGCATGCTAGAGATATCTGTCACCTGTCCCTTAGTGTTTACAGAAGTAATGCAAGCTCACTGTATGACAAGCTGCATTCATTTTTCTTAAGACTGCCAAAACTAAGAAAGTCTAAAGGTTGGAACCAGTCATGGAAACACCCTGCCTACACATTTCTGTCTGCATGCAAACATCAACATTGTGCCAGTGACCTTTCCAAACCACCCCTGAAGAGCTCAGAGCACTGCACTAGTGTCACACATCTGGAGCCTTCACAAATGGCAACAGTGGCACAAGATTCTACTTGACCAGAACGAGTCTCATCAAGTGTGGGTGGGCAACATATGTTTCAGAGATACATTACCAACTTCTGGGTACTCATGTGGTTCTCAGGGACTTGAGAGAGACAGAAAAAAATAAATATTTGGCAGAGAACAGACAAACCTATTGTCTCAGCACTTACGTGGAAACCAAACTCAATCCCTTCCAGGCATTTGGTTTTATTAAAGCAGAAACTAATAATTCACTGTTGAAAACAGACCTTCCCCTCTGGCTTATCTCCCGCTGTACAGATCCTGCTCAGAGCTCACATATTAGATATTTCCTCTCAAGACAGCAAATACTACTTTCAAATATGTGGATGGATTAAAAAGTCTCTTGACTCAGTAAACCACCAATATACACTTGGAATTTTGTCCATGAAGGAGACAACTGCTAACCAGTAAGTGTGCTCAAAGCAATAACTGTCAGCCTTTCAGATGTTTTGCATAAAAACTTAAGAATCTGCTTACTTTTGACCTCTACATACAACCTGACTAAATCCATTAGAATATTTGCAATGCGAAGTAACTATTGCAGTCCATTTTTCTAAGCAAGCTGAAATAATGTACCCAAATTCATCAGGCTAAATTATGCCTCTGTACTGCTGCTCCCCATTAGGAAATACAGAATAAACAGCAAAGTCAAATACAGTAACCAAAAAATAGATTTTTAAAAAATTGTAAATTGTTACAGTTTTCAATGGTTGAAGGTATTAATAAAAAGACAATGATTACAGAGGTATATCCAGGAAATAGAGTTCAAACATTAAGTCCCTTTACTACCTAACTCACAAAGTTGCACAATCTGGGCTCCAGACATTATCAGTGAGCAAATTTTTTTTAAAAAAGTATCTCTTTTGATGGACTTTGTGTTTAATGGTTGATAAAACCCCCTCTGGTTTTGATTCCTAAGCCACAGGGGTAGCAGCTGCAGCTATGGGCCAAAAACATAGTAGTTTTATTATACAAGGCAACTTTCTTCACTGGACAGTTATTTTTCATGGATATGACCACGTATCTAGATGAAACATCCCCTCTAATTACACGGTTTATATCTAACCTCACATTTTTGTTCCATGACAGTTGGTGACAGCTCAGCTGTCACTGAGTGATCTACATTAGCTCTCTGACATTATATCACAGACCTGATTCAGGCACCTGTAGGGATGAGAGGAGGGGGTTGGCAGCTGCTATATACTTAGCAAAAAAATACCTCTCATTTTTGTATTTCTAAACATTTACCTTTTTTCTTTCTTTTTTATGAGCTAGACAAATATGTTCTGGTCTGAATTATTTGCCAAACTGCTTTTAGTTAGAGTGATTAATAATTACTACTTTCTCAAATTTGGGTTTTTTTTCCTTCCACCAATGATGTTGCCATGTTTTTTTTACAGAATGATACATTTTATGCTTCCCATTGTCATGAAAGCATATGATAAAAATTGATCTGAGGGCATGATCCATAATTTCAGGTTACTTGATTTCTGAGACCATGATCCAATTATCAGCCATATGTAACAGTATTCAAATTACAGCTTAGTTTAGGATTTATGAAAAATTAATGTACCACAGCTATGAAAACAGTGTGCCACTATCTTCAACTGCCAAGTTATATAATTACAAAATATTCGTAATTATATGGTTTGGGTTTTTTTTTACTTTTAAATAAATAATGAAAAAATAATAAGGGAGAAACTGACATATAATCAAAAGTCTAAGTTGGTTCTGCTTTAACACCAGTGGTATTGGTAAACAAGCTCTGCTCATTATACTTGTGGATTGGCACAATGCAGTTACCACAAAAGGCAAACTCCTGTTAGAATAAACATGATGCAGTTTTTTGACAGGAAGAGTTCCAAAGATTTGGGTACCATGACATGTCTTTATCAGCATCCAGTGAGGCACAAAAGGAGGACACATACACCCAATATATCCTATGAGGAGAAAAATGTCATTGATTTGGCAAGGGTGCTACTTCTCATCTACAGTTTATAAAGCCATTATAAGGCAAAATCATTTCTTCAGCTGGGTGAGAAGAAATTGAGGAGTATCACAGAATGGTTTGGGTTGGACAGGACCTTAAATATCATCTAGTTCCAATCCATGGGCAGGGACACCTTCCACTAGAACAGGTTGCTCAAAAGCCCATCCAGCCTGGCTTGCTGGGGATCAGCTTCCAGGGATGGGGTACCCACATCTTCTCTGAGCAACCTGTTCCAGTGCCTCACCACCCTCACAGTAAAGAATGTTTTCCTTACATCTAATCTAGACCCACCCCCTTTCAGTTTTAAGTCATTAGCCCTTGATAACCACTACCTGCCCCACCAAAAGTCTCTGCAGCAATCCTGTAGCTCCCTTCACGTACTGAAGGCTGCTCTAACCACAACTCTGTCTGTCCTTACAGGAGGTGCTCCATCCCTCTGTGCATCTTCACGACCCTCCTCTGGACTCAGCTGTTCACCACCTTTGTATTTTGGGAGCCCCAGAGCTGGACACAGCACTCCAGAGTGGAGTAGAGGGGCAGAATCACCTCCCTCAACCTGCTGGGCACTCTGCTTGTGATGCAGACCAGGGCATGGTTGGCTTTGTGGGCCAAGAGCTCTCACTGCTCTCATCCACCAACACCCAAGTCCTTCTCCTCAGGGCTGCTCACAATCCATGATCTGCCCAGCCTGTATTTGTGCTTGGGATTGACCTGACCGAGGTGCAGGACCTTGCTCTTGGCCTTTTGAACTTGATGAGGTTTACACAGGGAATTCTTAGACTTCTTAATGAATTTGAGAGGCTGCCAGCTACTGATGAACAACGGTCTGAGCTAGCCTGAGCTATCTAGATATCACTAACAGAGTAAAACCCACTGAACTATTAAAATACACTTTAGAATTGTTTAAACAGTAAAATATACATCTGAAAGCACACTATTACAGGGTTTTTCCTTTGCCTTTGTGATTTATTAGACTGCCACAGGCTGGTCTAGACAAGACAAAATGAAATAATAATATGTTAATTCTTTCATGAAGGAAAAATGAATAAATTCCTGAGCAGGCAACAATTACAGAGGGTACTTTCCTCCTTTTTCCTCTGAACTAGTTTTTAACTGATCCCTTTTAATAGAGCTGACAGTCTTTGTTGGGGTGAAATGCAACCTGAAATTTGCATTGGTAGAAGGGAAACCAAAGCTGTCAAGTCTCCAACATCACTCCCCCTGATATCATGCAGTTCAAAACAGAATTTAGAATTATTTTCTAGAATTATGGAATAGGAAATGATGCCTCACAAATCTGAAATATTTTTACTGGAATTAATTCCAGCACAGTGCTATGGAAATGTTTCTACATGTAGCAGAATTGATGGGAGTTTGTAATGACTGTAGGGACATGTTCTCGTGCCAACTGCCAGCACTGGTTCTCAGGGTGGACTGGCAGGCAAAGGACACTGACAAAAGGCACATGTACTTAGAATTTAGATTCATTTCTTTCATTATGCGAGCTGTCAAAAAGAGAGTTTGAATCTGGGCAGTGACTGATGAAGATGTAAGGTAATGTTGGAGTTGATCATTACAAGCAGTGCCAGGAATGACTGGGTTATTTCAGTATTAGTAATACTTGAAAATATCCCTCCTCTGAAACATAGGCTTATCATCTTGTAAGGGTTCCCTTGTTTATCAAGCTTTAACAATCAGGCAGGCAGGAATCCTTCACAGCTGGAATGCATCCTTACAACCTATCCAGGCTTCAACAATTGACCTATTTTCTATTAACATACATGGGATGTAGAAAAACCTGCATTTCAGTAAGGTTATTCTTATTTCTGGGATGGCGAGGAATGGATTTCAGAGTGCTCAGGGGCTGGATTAGAAAAAAAAATCCAGATCAGCCATCTATATTCTTTACAACATGAATAATCATAAATGAAACTCTGAAATCATGCACCAAACTGCCTAGATTTGGAAAAAAACCCAACCAAACATGGCATCACCCAAACTTCCCCCTCTCCTCCCCAAAATCCCAACAACAATAAAACCTAAACTGGGGAGAAAAACGAAAAATAAATCGATCTTAAAGGAGGTTAACTGAACACTGAAGAAACAGACTGTCCTCCATCGCTGACTTGCAAACACAGACATGTGGAATTACCACAGTGACAGTCAAAATAATATTTGATTCTGCTAAGTGCAAAGCAATGGCATCATGCATTTATCCTATGCAGGAGATACCTTGTGTACTAGTGATCTGGGGGAAAATCTGCGAAGTGGAAGTGGTCACCTTCCTGGGGCCTCCCTCACTGTCTGTAGGATGGTAGTCACTGTGGCCACGTCTACCATTAACCATTACACCTTGCTGGTTTAAAAATTCTGTCCTGACAACTTTACGTTTGCTGTAACCAATTTCTGATGCTTCAGAAGTCTGATGAGTTGTATAAGACAGAAACAGAACTTTTGACATGCTGAGGATAAATTTGTATTGCATTTGATGATGAGATACACCTATAACTACCATCCAAAAGCACTGTTATTAGTATTTCAAATTAAAGGTTGCTAATCCTTTTCTCTCCAAGAGCCAGGAAGGAATAAGGCTCCAAGGTCAAAATGAGATCAATGTATTCATTAAATCTGACTCACTGATGTAGCAGATGTACAGGTGTCTATGCTTTTTAAATATTTATCAGCTTTTGAAGCAATTTCAAGTCCTCAGCTTTACAAGACTGTCTACTGTTTTCAGTAAGATCTTGCATTGTTTTATTGTTCTCATTACTAAGACATTCCACACAAGACTGAATAATTCTCAGATGTAAATTCTTGGCCACTAGCTCTTGATGCATGTTGGACAGTAAGACTGAGACATCATCACTACCTTTTCAATACTTTTTACTGAATGATTACATTCCTTCTCCATTTTTCCTTTGGCAAATTAAGTTGATAGATCTATTTAGCATTCATATGACAAGGCCTGCTTTTCAAATTCTCAATGCCTTTAGCAGATTTCTTGGATTTTCTTCCAGAATTCCAATAGAATTTTTAACCTCCAAGAACCAGATGTGTGAATATTCTAACAGCAATACCACTGGCATTATTTGCTTTCTGTTCATATTTGACCATTCTTCAGCAGTCAAAGACTGTATTAGTTCTTTATCCTGGTCTCACACTGGCAGTCTCCAGTGAGATATTAGCTAGGATAATCCTGGACACTTACATTAGAGACAGAAAACTCCCTCACTCCAAAAATATGCCTGGCATATAGCCACTAAATTCAGTAATCACAATTCCATAATAGTCATTACATGCATTATTTGCTAGTCAAAAATATTTATGCTATCTACAAAATTCATCAATGAAAAAGTTTTTTAGGACATTTTCCATAGTGAAGAAGAGAAATGTCTACTTCTTTACCTCCTTCATCTTTCTAGAGAGGAATTATCCAAACTATCTCCATTCAGGTCAAGAATTTCAGGGTCCTGAGCATTGTAGAACTATTTTGGATTTTACTGGGTTTTGCAAGTTTTCATGCTGAATTAGAAAAAAATTTACAGAAAGAGGTCAAAAGCACCTTGAGGATTTATTATACAATAGGGTCAATAATATACTTCAAATTTAGCTTTCCCTTTTACCACTTTAACAGCATTTTCAGATCAGAAAATGACAGAAGACAATGCATGATCCTGTGCGATAAACCCCTACACTACCCTTTTCCAGGTGTCAAATCACAAACTCTTTTAGTCTAGTTTTTATGTTTCTTACTAGCAGCAGACACCTCCCAGCATGCTCACCCAACACTAAGAC